GTCACGCGACTCTGTTGCCCTTTCGGGCTTGAACTGATGGTAAAACTAACGACATTATTAACTCTCTTGATATTTACTTTGAAAGCTGACGCTCGTGATTATGGTAAGTGGCGTTACATTTCCGACGCATGCTTGTGGTGTTCGGCCAATCACAATGCAGTGGGTCAGCTGGCCAATCAGAGCAGACTGTGCTTGTCAAAGGAGGGGGCTTTGTTGAAAACGACGTGTTTGAGAGAGGCGGGGCATAGAGGACCTACAATAATGTACAGTATTTGAAAAATAATGTGTTTTTTGAACATTAAAGCATGTCAACATATTCTGTTACACCAAATAATGATCTTTAAAATAGCATCATATGACCCCTTTTAAGGTTAACAAAGAGTCCAGCGCTTCTCCTCATTTATTAACATGCAATGTGTTTCCTCAGAGACTTTTGGTGAGCAAAGACTAGTGAAAAGACAAATAACGGACCAAGTTTAAAAACAGTAGGTGTTAAAAATGCCATATTTGAACATGCAGAATGCAAAAAATACATCAACATCATCCAAATAAAAAATGTATATCTCATGAAGATACATCTAGGACACATATCACCTTGATAACAAAAAAAGAAAAGAAAAGAAACTACACTGTACCTGAAGAAAATTAAGCATATTTTTAGAAATGAAAACTTTCACTACCATAATGCATCTGGATAATTTACTGTAATTCCCAATTGCTCTATTACATGATTTTTTTGTTCGTTTAATTTTCTTTATTTTTCTTTAATTTCAGTGAAGTCGATGGAAGCTTGTTTCCTCGAGATAAAAAAAAAAAGTCATTGTGACAATTTCAATTTTGAGAAATAAAAATAATATATATATATAAAAATAATCAGAATTGCATGATATACATGCAGAATTTTGAGATATAAACTCAGAATTGTGCAAAATAATAAGAACTGTGCGATATAAACTCAGAATTGTGCAAAATGATAAGAACTGTGCGATATAAACTCAGAATTGTGCAAAATAATAAGAACTGTGCGATATAAACTCAGAATTGTGCAAAATGATAAGAACTGTGCGTGTGTGTGTGTGTGTGTGAGCGTGTGTGTGTGAGCGTGTGTGTGAGCGTATGTGTAAGAGTGTGTGTGAGCATGTGTGTGAGCATGTGTGTGTGAGCGTGTGTAATAATAAGAACTGTGCGATATAAACTCAGAATTGTGCAAAATAATAAGAACTGTGCGATATAAACTCAGAATTGCAATATAAACGCAGAATAGCGAGATATAAACAATGTGAGATATAAGTGCAGAATTGCAAGATATAAATGCAAAATTGCATAATATAAACTCAGAATTGTGAGACATTAATGCTGAATTATGAGATATAATCTCACAGCTGTGAGAAAAACAGTCAGAATTGTGAGTCACAATTACCTTTTTTATTTTTTATCCCGTGGCAGAAACAAGCTTCAATAAAATTCTGACCGAAAATGTTCTTAACAATTTGTGTGCGATTCTTCCTAAAAACATACACTTCAAATCCATCAGACACTTACAGAACATCACAGAAAACATCATAAAAAGCCTAAATAAAATCTCTCCATTTCAGAATATTCCTCAGTCTCTTTTCTATTGGTCCATTAAAGCATAAATCCTGCGTGTCTTCTTTTTCTTCGAAAAAAAACAGTTGCAGGATCATCTTGTCAGTTATTCCAGGTAGTAAAAGGTTAAATGATTCGATGTGTTTCCTTTACAAAATAATTAATTTGGTCCTTTTGTTTGTAATTATTGTGAAATAGCACAAGTCCTCTTCCTGAGGACGACTGTGCTTTAGTGTCCTGAGTGAAGAGCCCATGTGTGTGAGTGTGAGCGAGTGTGTGTGTGAGTGCGTGTGTGTGTGTGTGTGTGTGTGTGTGTGTGTGTGTGTGTGTGTGTGTGTGTGTGTGTGCGTGTGTGTAGGGGTGAGGTGTGTCACGTAGTCACTCGCAGGCCAGTTTGCTGTCGAAGCTGGACAGGCCGATAGCAAAGGCCTGCAGGGCACACATGGGGTAGTTAAAGTCCAGAGTGAAGATGTCCTCCGCCACACGACCAAACTGCATCACGATGTAGTCAGCTGAAAACACAACAACACACAATCACAACGATTTATTGTTTAAAAAAAAAATGTATATGTATTTGTAAAATGTATTTCCCATTTTCATTTAGTTTAACTTTATGTACTAAAATAACTAAAACTGAAAATAATAATAATAATAATACATATAAATATTAAAAAAATTATAAAAATGACTAAAACACCTTTAAAATTACTAATCAATTAAAAAATATATATATAAAAAAATTAAAATGCAATATTTCTCATTTTCATTCATCTTAACGTGATGTACTATAATAACTAAAACTAGAACTTAAAACATTTATTAAAAATTAATAATTAAAAAAAAAGTATAAAAATTAAAATAAATAAAAACTATATAGACAATAAAAAAATTACATAAAACATAATACAAATGATTAAAACAACTTTAAAATTACAAATACTTCAACTAAAATTAAAATGAAAACAGACAATATAAAAATAAAAAGGCAACATTTCTCACATTTTCATTTAGTTTTGTCTACAACAATAACTACAACTAAAAATGAAAAAAAAATTGCATACATATTTAAAAATAAAAAATGATTACAAAAAATTAACATAAAAAGTCATAAAATTCACAAAATTACTAATACTTTAAAAATAAAATGTATATATGTATATAAAATAAAACAGAATTCAAAATATTATCTATATGTGATGTACTAAAATAACTATAACTAAAACTGAAATAAAAAGTAATAAAAATTATATTAAAAACATAAAAAATGACAAACTTTAAAATTATTAATACTTCACCTAAAATTAAATTTTAAATGTAAACATCAAATATAATCTAAATGTTGATATTATATGATATTACCTAAATATATCTCACGTAAATACATCTAAATATGTAAGGGATAATGCATGGCTAGCTGTGCATTAAACGATTTTAATGCACAACGTGGAGGCCAAGAACCACACGACGCGAAGCGGAGGACAGAGATGAAATTGTGCGATAAGATCACATTTCTTTGAATGAATTATAGCATTTATTTAAATTAACTATTAATTGAGAGAGAAAGAGAGGTGTGTGTGTGTGTGTGTGTGTTACCTGCGTCTGCGCGTCTCTCTACAAACAGTGAAGCTGTGTAACTTCAAAAACAGCAATTTTACCACCTTGTTGCTGAGGAATATAATGTAGCGAGAGAAAAAAAATACGAATTTCGAATATTCGTCGAATTTAAAATAAAAATCCACATTTTAGGTGTGCGTCAGGCAGCCTTATCAGTGGCGCACGAGATGCAATGACGATGTAAGTGTCGTTGCATTATAATGTTTTTGTTAGCCCTTCCAGTTGAAGCCACTAGATGCGGCGCTGCTGCGTTGTTCATTACAAATATTGCGGAAAAAAGAACATAAATGCAGAGAAGATCTTGTTTACGTCAAAACTGAAACCAAGCCGTTCACACAGAACACATATTTATCGCATTTTCTAGAAGGGATGTCTATCACCGTTGCACTCGCGTCTCGCACAAAAGAGCCGCATGTTTAGAAAGCCATGTAAAATTAATGCAAGTTCAACTTTTAAAAAACATGTCTCGAGACTTTATGGCAGATTTTCCCCATCCCACTGCATCTCAAGTTTTTAAATGAAAAAAGTACTATTTGTGATTGGTTTTCGGTCCTTTGTATTAAACTATACATACATGCATGATTCTGTTTTGTTTCTAATTGTTTAAGCAACTTAATTATATATGGTTTATAAACATTATTTTAAACATTATGCACTTTTTTCAAATATAGTCGTGTTATTTTATTGCTTTGAATAAACGTGCATTAGTAATATTTTGCTCGATGTGCCCTCTTGTGGCCTCAGGAGAGAAGCCAAAAGCTTTTTTCCCTCCTAACTGAAATTATGCATTTTAAATTCTAATATGAGTTGAATATTGATAATATTTAAGTAAAAAATTCGAATTTAGTTTTTCAGCCATTTTGACACCCCTAGTAGCGATCTAGTATCTGGCTTGGAACTACCTGTGCATTAAACGGTTTTACTGCATACCTGCCAGCCAATTAGAATTCAGGCAGACCATGGTATAAGTCTATATATATATATAACACCTCACACTGCTTGACTGAGGTGACTTACGGTCGTTGTCGTGGATGATCTGGAAGTTCTTGACGGAGGCCTGCGTGACTCTGCCGTGGAAGTTGAGCACGTAGGACTGCGTGTCGTCGTTCCACACCGGCGCTTTATTGTGCAGCTCGATCAGATTCTCCAGCGAGTGATTCTGCCATTTACTCAGCAGAGACTCCTGCTCCTGAAACACACACACACACACACATCAGCTGCTGCGCTCATGGTGATGATCTGACTGACAGCAGCCAGAGGAGACACTAGACGGGTTTCCATCCAAAGCTGCGAATTTAACTTAACTCAAAACTGGAATATCGCATAAAACATTTGCGAACAAGCATCGTTTCCATCCAACAAGTCAAAGAGAACAAAATCGTCACTTCCTGATAAACTGGCATGAGAACGCAGTCATGTAAGACATTTCTGGGAGGCAATTATACAGAAATACTTTGATGATCATTTCCGAATGACCATAACAACATTTCAGATGCTGTGTAATGAGATTGGTCCGCTGGTTAGTCAGGTTTTGCCGTCCCATAGTGCAGTCACATGACTTTTTTGATGCGCTTGGAGGAATTTATTCGCAAAATGCGTTTCCATCTCCCATTATTCGCATCAACCCTTTATCGCACGAGTCAATAACCACCTCAAGCGAGCAGAAAAACTTTTTTTGCGAATTAAGGGATTTTTATTGGAAATTTGGCGTTTCCATCATTCGTTTCTCATGCGATACTTCAATAGGTGATGGAAACATAGCTACTCACACACGCGGGCCGAACCGGAACCCGCTCGAAGTTCATGTTCATGCCGGGAATGATCACGGTCATCTTCCGCGGCCCTTTGAAGCCCAGAACATTGGTCTCCTAAAAACATACACACACACACACACACACACAATAAGAAGTGGGCAAAACCACTCAGAAACAGAGAGGAACAGAGACACACTGACGTAGCAGACGGCGGCGAGCTCCTGTCGTGTGTTGGTTTCCTCCAGCAGCGCTCCGGGGGTTTTCGAGGGGTTCGTGCCGTTATCGTACACAGTAAACTTGGTTCCCATCAGATTAGACCTGCGGTGAACGGTGAACATCATCAACTCATCATCTAATGAATGGCAGAACATCAACTCACACAGACTCCAAAACAAGCTAAATGTGACTTCAGTCGTGGCATTGGGCAGCAAAGGGTTAAAAGGACAAACGTGAAGCTTGTGTTTTTAATACAGCACATTAATTATTCAGTAAAAAATGTTTATTATCTGGGCTACACACTGTCTAACTCAAGAGTTTTCTACTTTTATATTCTAAAATTCAAAAGGCAGCTATATATTTTCGTGCATAAAGATTAACTGAAAAAATCATGTTAGAAATGTGTAAAATGTCATTTAGAAAATATTCAGTACCTAATACAATAAATGACAACATATTTTCTACGTAGCTATATTACTTATATTTTTATTTTAACCAATTTTTTATTATTCATTTAAATACATCTTTCATTATTTATTTTTTATTTAAATATATTTTTTATTATTTATTTTAATATTTTTGTATTACTTTTATTATTTATTCAATTTTTTATCTAATTGTTATTTATTTGAACACAATTTTTAATAGTTATTTGAATACAATTTTGATTATTAATGTATTTGAATAACATTTTTTATATTTTATTTTAATACAATTTTGTTTATTTATCTATTTCAATTTAATTTTATTTTTTTTTTTTAACTATTTTTATTTATTTATTTTAATCTAATTTTTTTTTTTTTTATAAAATTTTTAAAATTAAATTTATCTATTTAAATAATTTTTGTTTTACTTATTTATTTTTACACTCCATACACTGTTTTTCTCCTAACTTTTTCACGGCCCCCCAACACTCCCTTTTATTTAGTGTCATGCTCATGTGTTTCTATTGAAAATGCAGTACTGAAACCACAATTGATGCTTTAAAGAAACGGGATGAGTTGAAATTGTTTTCTGTGGTAACTGACTGGATGTCACTAGATCTTGACGTGTATTGAACCAGAAACATCCGATCAATCATAAGTTCAGTGTTAAATTGGATCTGATCATTTGAAGGTCACTTGTGACTGAATCTCCTGAGATGAGACGAGTTAATACCAGACAAAAAACACCAGAGAGGCACCTCAGTTTTCCTATGAAGCTCTCGGCCTCGCGGGACAGATCTGTGGCGTCTACAGAGATCAGATAGTTGGATGTTTTGCTCTTTTTCCTCTTGCGTCCGGCCAATAAGAACACCTAAGAGAGAGAGAGAGAGATGAGCGAGAGAGCACTAAAGTGAGCAGAAGTGATTGTGAAGCATCAGATCAAACCTTCTTGCCGTCTTCTCTCTCCAGGTGCATGTAATACGTGGGATAGAGGCCGCGGTCCATGCCCTTCTTATCCCGCGAGATGCGGCACTTGACGGTGACTCCCCGCGGAGCCGGACGGAGCACAAACTCCTCCAGATTATCCACCTCAACGGAGGAGCCCTCAGCCGATGGAGAACCCAGCGGGAGACACTCCTGATGGGACAGAAAGACAAAACTCACACATTCAGTGCTCAGATATGAATGAGTGATGAAAATACACCATTAATTATTCTCACAGGGTCTCTGAGAAAAGGAGGAAAGTTCACAAACTGAATGAAATACTTTCCCGTATCCCAGTTTAATATCCAGAGTTTAATGGACTCTATGCACAATCGCTTCCGCATTCAGGCCACTGCAACTTCCGATGCAATGGCAGTGTATGGAAATTGTGAGAAAATTAAGCACAAAATGAAATCTTGATGCAGTGTTACACAACAGCATTATTGATGTTGTTTTTATTATTTAATCTGTTTTTTTATTTATTTATTTTATTTTATCAATTAAAAAATATTTCTATATTTTTTATTTTCAATATTTTAATTTATTGTAATCAAATTTATACAATTTCTACTTATAATTTAAATGTATTATTTAAACTATTATTTATATTTTATTATTCATTTATTTTCATTCATTTTATTATTTCAAAATATTCATTTATTTTAATATTTTTCCATTATTTATTTTAAGCTAATTTTTATCATATAATTTTATAGTTACGTTTAAAAAAAAAAAGATTATTTATTTGTTTTATTTTATTTATTTTTGTATTAAATTGTACTAGTTACATGTTTTAACCTATTTTCCCATTATGTATTTATTTCTTCTTTCTTTCTTTCTTCATTTATTTATAAAGCACATTTTAAAACAACCAAGGGTTGACCAAAGTGCTGTACATAGTTGTAGAAAATACACAAAAACAGTACAGTAAAAATTTAACCCAGCATACATTTTTCAAATAAATAAGATTTAAGCATTGATTTAAAAACAGACAAGAAGGTGCTGTTCGAATGGCAACAGGGAGATTATTCCAAAGTGTTGGCCCGGCAATAGCAAAAGCTCGGTCACCACGATGTTTCAGTCTGGACCTAGGGACGGATAACATTTTTAAAGGCCCCGATCTAAGTGGTCTCGCTGAGGTGTGTGAGTGCAACAACTCAGTGAGGTAGACTGGCGCAAGATTATTTAATATTTTAAATTCAACTCTGAATTTTACAGGCAACCACTGGAGAGAGATCAAGATAGGACAGATGTGCTGGAATTTACGTGTTCTCGTCAAAAGCCTGGCTGCTGCGTTTTGGACCAGTTGTAAATGCTCCATGGATGAGCAGTTAATCCCATAATAAAGTGAATTACAATAGTCTAAACGGGAAATAACAAATGCATGAATTACTTTTTCGAAGTTCCTGGTTGATAACAAAGGTTTCACTTTAGCCAGGTGACGCAGATTGAAAAAACACACTTTAACTACTCCATTTATCTGTTTGTCGAGCTTTAGACCAGAATCAAGCCAAAAACTTACATTTTTTGCACATGGAGTAACCCACTGAGCTAAGGAACCAAAGTTACATTTACAGGCATTAAAAGCGTCACTAAAGCTCGGTCACCACGATGTTTCAGTCTGGACCTAGGGACGGATAACATTTTTAAAGGCCCCGATCTAAGTGGTCTCGCTGAGGTGTGTGAGTGCAACAACTCAGTGAGGTAGACTGGCGCAAGATTATTTAATATTTTAAATTCAACTCTGAATTTTACAGGCAACCACTGGAGAGAGATCAAGATAGGACAGATGTGCTGGAATTTACGTGTTCTCGTCAAAAGCCTGGCTGCTGCGTTTTGGACCAGTTGTAAACGCTCCATGGATGAGCAGTTAATCCCATAATAAAGTGAATTACAATAGTCTAAACGGGAAATAACAAATGCATGAATTACTTTTTCGAAGTTCCTGGTTGATAACAAAGGTTTCACTTTAGCCAGGCGACGAAGATTGAAAAAACACACTTTAACTACTCCATTTATCTGTTTGTCGAGCTTTAGACCAGAATCAAGCCAAAAACTTACATTTTTTGCACATGGAGTAACCCACTGAGCTAAGGAACCAAAGTTACATTTACAGGCATTAAAAGCGTCACTAGGTCCAAACAGAATTACTTCAGTTTTACCTTCGTTTAGAGTCAAACATCTTTTTGTAAGCCATGACTTAAGTTCCTGAATGCATGCATACAGAGCTCCTAGCGCATTTTTATCATTTGGTTTAAAGGGGAGGTACAACTGGACATCATCTGCATATAAACGAAAAGAAATTCCATATTTCCATCTTTTTAAAATATTTTTAATATTTTTATTACTTATTTTAATCTTTTTCATTATTTTTTTAATCTACTTGTATCACTTATCTATTTATTTTAATTGTATTATTTATATTTTAATCTATTTTTTAATATTTATTTATTTTAATATATTTTCCCATTTATATTTTGTTGTTTTTTATTTTTAATCTTTTTTATTGTTTTATTTAAAAACAAAACGTTTTTTTTTTTTATTTAAAGCTTCTGAAACTCATTTCTGAAATGTTTATGGTATAATATAATATAATACACTAAAATAATGTTATGTTAATGTTATGTACTATAGTTATATTATATCTAATATACTATATCGTAATGTCATTATTTATGAATTGACAGTTATATGATGTGACAGAAAGAGTTTGCTACAGCACTGAGACTTCAGCAGAAACACACACACAGTCAGTCAGTGTGCATCAAACTGTGGCTGTGTGTTTGTGTGGAGGTTGTTGTGTCTGTCTGACCGTGGTTGATTTGGTGCTGGAGGCTGACGCAGGACGAGTGCTTTCTGTGTTCGGCGACAGCGATCGGCTTCGCTCTTCAGCTTCATCATCATCTTCCTCGCTGGCCTCGTCGTAGTTCATGCTGCCAGACAGTCCTGAGAGAAACAGAGTTTAAAGAGCTGGAGATGAGAAACAACAGATGCTGCGCCGAGACGAGGACTGACATTTACACGCAATCTCCTGAGACACCCTCACACACACACACACACTTTTCTGCAGCGGGCGGCGAGGGCTGCTGCGGTGGACTGACCGACAGAACCTGGATCTTACTGCCCAGATCTGGAGCTTCTGAACCCAGCAGAGCCGCGGGGCCGTCGATGCCTGACGGACAAGCGCACACACATTAAATCATTCACACACAAAACACACATACAGCCACAGAGCGACATACTGAATGCAAATCAAAGCACAATATTCAATTCTACATCTATTCAGCAGGCGGAGAGATCATTTTTGTTTGATAATGGAAACTAAAAAAGTCTGACTGCAAATGAACGAAAAACCTTCTCAGAGAGAGTGAAGGACGAACAGCAGATATGAGTCCTGAGAAACAGATAAGAGAAGGCAAAACTATTACACAAACCACACTGAAGCAAAACAGTGGGATGAATAATAAAGAGCATAGTGAGGAGTGTCATGATTTAAAGGCATAGTTCACCTAAAAAAAAAAAAAAGAGATGATGTTAATTTACTCACCTTCATGCCATCCAAGATGTAGCTGACTTTCTTTCTTCTTCAGTAGAACAGTAAAGAAGATTTTTAGCATAAACCGTGCTCCTTGGTGATTCATACAATGCAAGTCAATGGGTACCGGCACTTTGAGAGTCAAAAAATACAGGCAACACCAAATGAATCCCTGTGGCTCCTGATGATATATTGAGGTCTGTGCAAGAAACTGAACATCATTTACAACATTATTACCAGTAATCCAGAGCCTCAGGGCAAATGGGAAGTATGATTCTTTTCCGTGAACTGCTTGTTTCAGACAGTTCGTTTCAATGAACTGGTTCAATTCACTAGTTTGATTACATGATCATGCAATGATGTCACATATATGCAATTATATTATTAAAGCACCCAATTATGATGTGAATAGTGCATGTTTTGCATGTCTAAGGCATATAAAGTGAATAAACTTGTTTTCATCAGCTCACCTTTTTACATAAACAATGTTAAACCATAAAAATGTTCATTTCACTGGAGCGCTGAATGAGTTCATTCATCATAGGATCAGATATGCCGCTATTTTGGCTCATTTCGAGTCGGAGTGACTGTTAGGCGTCTGAAAATGAGTTTTAATTGAGTAATTTGTACATCTGTGCTGCTCGAGCTGTGAACTGATTCAAACGATTCTGATTTGATGAACTGCTTCAACTAGTTCACTAAAAAGAATCGGTTTAAAAGAATGATTCGTTTGTGAACCGGACATCACTCAGGAGGCTCTGGATTACAGGTAATAATAATGTTGTAAATAATGTTCAGGGTTTTTTTTGCACAGACCGTTCGTTTAGACCTCAATATACCATCAGGAGCCACAAGTATACATTTTGTGTTGCTTTTTTTGACTCTCAAAGTGCCGGTAGCCATTGACTTGCATTTTATGAATCACCAAAGACCAGGGTATAAGCTAAAAATCTTCTTTACTGTTCTACTGAAGAAAAAAAGTCACCTACATCTCGAGTGGTCTGAGGGCGAGTAAATTAAGAGCAAATTAGCCCTGGGCGATATGGCAAAAAATTAAAATCTTGATTTTTTTCAGAACGTTTGACCGATTCCCGATTTTTTAACTAGTCAACTTGAAAATGTAACTACAACATGATTCAAGTAACTTTTTCTTTATTAACCCTCTAGCTACAGAAAATTCTATTCCAAGTGCAGCACACATTAAGTAAATGTTAAACAAATCACTTGTTACATATCTTTGCAGAAAAGATGCATGAACTACAACTACATCTTGTACAAACTTGTCTTATAGGTATGTTCAGAAATAATTTGAGAAAAAATGATTTAAATAATTTGAAAAAAATTTGAAAGGTAATTCAAATTCAAAATTACTGAAGGTATAACACCAGTAGACTATTATTAACTATAAATGTTCTGTAAAAACAATGAACAGCAGCTGTCAGCCTGTCACCATGATGCAAACATGAAATATCAGACGTACACTAGTAGTTCTTCACGGGGTTTTTTAAATTCGATTGCGCTGCTTTTCCATTGTTTTTTCTATGTAAACATGGGTGTGTTTGACTGTTGCGCTCGTGTCATGCATGATACATGTCTGAATGACATTTAATAATTCTGATTTTAATTCTCTCTGATTTTAACTCTCTATTCTAATTCTAACACTTGTCCCTTTTAAACTTGCACTCTATTCATTTGCTGCTTGTTTTCTTTAAAAAAAAAAAAAACTAACACTTGCTTTCTAATCTTTTTCTATTCTATCTGTTTTCTTTTTATTTATTATATTATTTAAAAAACCCTTGCTAGGTGTACTGCGTTAAGCTAACTGAGACTTGTTATAGCACTTGTATAGCATTGCTCTTTTCTTAGTTTCGATTGCTTCCATTGTCCTCATTTGTAAGTTGCTTTGGATAAAAGCGTCTGCTAAATGACTAAATGTAAATGTAATGATACGGCATTCTAAAAACGCGTCGCTCAAGTTGAAAGAAGTTCACTCCCATCTTCTTGCATGTTTTTTCTAGTCCACAAAAGCGAATTCTGTGTGATATGAGCGCGTCACACGTGAGCAGTTAATCACGAGTGCCGACATGCGGTTGGATCGATCTTTTCTCTTTACTGTCATCATTGGCATATTGTCAAAGTGTCTAATTCTAACGTTTGGTAATATTTCTATTCAAAATCCCGATTCCTCGATTTCTAAGAAACAAAATCGTGGCAAAACATTAAATTAGAATGAATCGATAAAATCTTCATTTTTGGGTGAACTGTCCCTTTAAAGCCTCACCATCCAGGATGATGTCACTGGCAGTGCTGAGGTGCGGCTCCACGAGTGGCGCTTGTTCTTCACTGCGGCGGGGCAGCGAGCGCCGCGGACGTCCCTCTGAGTTCGGCTGGACCATCAGCGGCTCCTGACGCTTCCGCCGCTGCTTCTGCTCCAGCAGCGCCCTCTGCAGACACAATAACACCATTAACACACTCAGATCATTCATTATTCATCCTTCTTGTTCTTCCCTGCGGCGGGGCCGCGAGCGCCGCAGACGTCCCTCTGAGTTCGGCTGGACCATCAGCGGCTCCTGACGCTTCCGCCGCTGCTTCTGCTCCAGCAGCGCCCTCTGCAGACACAATAACACCATTAACACACTCAGATCATTCATTATTCATCCTTTACTAGATGCATACAGTGCATTTAATAGAGGGTCAAACCATTAGAGCAAGTATAAAACGAGGGTGTTGTCTGTTAATGTGGCTTTTTAGAGAATATGCAATCAGATCATGAGACACTTGGAGCGACTTACTATACAGGAATCATCATTCTGCTGTTGTGTTTCTTTTCCAGTGTTCTTATTGTTAACTAAAACTACTAAAGTACATTTTCAGTAATTTAAACAAAGATGAAATTAAAAATATATATAGAAATGTTACAAGAAAAACTTCAACTTTAAAAAATTAATAGGAACTTTTTATTCCAGTGTTACTATTGTTGACAAATTTTTTGGTAATTGAAATAAAATAATATAAATATTATTTAAATATATAATATATATAAATATTAAATATAAAAATTGAAATGTTGTTTCTATACCAGTATTGTTATTCTAAACTATTAAAAATGATTTGTCGTTCATTGAAATTAAGCTGAAAAAAAAAAGTAAATGTTACATAAAAAATGAAACCTATAAAAACATGAACATAAACTTAAAATGTTGCTTCTATTCAGTGTTTTTATTGTCAACTAAAACTATTAAAAAATGTTTCTGGAAAATAAAAGAAAGTATAAAATAAAATAAACCTGTAAAACTTAAAATGTTGTTTCTATTCCAGTATTGTTATTGTTAGCTAAAACTACAAAAAATTATTTATGGCAGTTGAAATGAAGCTGAAATAAAATAAAATATAAATATTACATAGAAAATTCTGGCAACTAACTGATATAAAATTCAAGTTGAAGTATAAAATTACTAAAACTGAGAGCAAAATTAACCAAAGCTAAATGCAAAAAAAAAAAAAAATGGTAACATTAAAATGAAAACTGGCAATATAAAAAAAGCTGATTTAAAATATTAATAAATACTAGTACATTAATAGTACTAAAATAACACTATTCTATTCTGCTATGTAAGTATTTTAAGCTACAACATTTTGTCCACTACATCATTCCCATACTTCCGTTTCCTGTTATTTCATAGTTTTGATGATTATAAAATGTGAAAAACAGTCACACGAAAGAGTAAGTAGGAGTATCCAAACATGTGACAGCTATTGTGATACAAAGATAATCTACTAGAGCTGAGATAAAAACAGCGAGAGCTCTGTACGGCACAGGAAGTGAATGATAACAGTCAAGGATCAGGAGGATGAGCAGAAAACACACACAATCCTTCCCAGAAACAAAACACTCACAGAAAGATGAAGAAGTTGACGCATGCTCGCTAGAATCATCCTTACAACAGCAGAACCGAACTGTGTGTGTGTGTGTGTGTGTGTGTGTGTGTGAGAGAGAGAGAGAGAGAGAAGTGGGATGAAATGACAGTAGATGACAGACAGGAAGAGAAATGAGGGCTGCTGACACAATGAGAGTTTCACTTAAAGTCAGACGATGCTGTTCAGCTCACGCTGAGGGGCGGAAACACTGGAAACAATCAATCGCTTCACAATGGAAAGTAACATCCATACTGTGTATTATTGTGTGCTATTGTGTATTATTGTTTTATTGCTTTTTGATGTGTTTTATAATGTTTTGATGTGTTACCGTGTATTATTTTGTTTTGATACGTGTTATTGTGTATTATTTTGTTTTATTGTGTTTTTTGTTGTGTTTTATAATTTATAGATGTGCTACCAAGTATTATTAATT